TTGGTCCTGAGCTGGATAATCTCAGAAACATCAGAGTCCACTGGTCCTGAGCCGGATAATCTCAGAAACATCAGAGTCCACTGAGCCTGAACTGGACAGTCTCAGATACATCAGAGTCCTCTGTTCCTTAAATGGACAGTCTCACAAGAGTCCACTGGTCCTGAGCTGGACAGTCTCAGATACTTCATGGTCCTCTGGTCCTGAGTCGTACAATCTCAGATACATCAGAGTCCTCTGGTCCTAAACCAGAAAGTCTCAGATACAAGAGTCTACTGGCCCTAAACTGCACATTCTCAGAAAAAACAGTCTACTGGTACTGAGCTGGACAGTCTCAGATACATCAGAGTCCTCTGGTTCTAAAGCGGACAGTCTCACAAGAGTCCACTGGTCCTAAACTGGACAGTCCCAGATAGAACAGAGTCCCCTGGTACTGAGCTGGATAGTCTCAGATACTTCAGAGTCCTCTGGTCCTGAGCCAGATATTCTCAGATACTTCATGGTCCTGTGTTCCTGAGTCATACAATCTCAGATACATCAGAGTACATTGGTCCTGAGCCGGATAATCAGATACATCAGAATCCTCTGGTCCTAAAGCGGAGAATCTCGTAAGAGTAAACTGGTCCTAAACTGGACTGTCTCTGATTCAACAGAGTCCACAAGTCCTGAGCTGGACAGTCTCAGATACTTCAGAGTCCTCTGTTCCTGGGTCATACAATCTCAGATACATCAGAGTCCATTGGTCCTGAGCCGGATAATCTCAGAAGATAAGATAAGATAAGATATTCCTTTATTAATCCCGCAGTGGGGAAATTTACATTTTTACAGCAGTATAAAAAAGCAAAACCAATTTGAAAAACTATATATACACAGTAAAATCAAGTGAATATAGAAATACTAAAAAACAGTATTGTTCGAAATATAAATAAATAAACAATTTCCAGGTTTATTGCCTGTAGTAGAGAGTGGTGAACTACTTAGAGCAGTGGGTATTGTACAGTCTGACGGCGGCTGGAAGGAAAGACCTGCGGTATCTTTCCTTCACGCACTTAGGGTGCCGCAGCCGGGCGCTGAAGGAGCTGCTCAGTGCTGTCAGAGAG